ATGCGACGTGCCTTTACCCTCTCTGGCTTGTGATATGCCTCCATAACCACTTCCTTTCTTATTCCCCCAGTCCTCCATCTCTCCAGCTTCCTCTACCACTTACATTCACTACGGAAACATCAGTCTGACAGAAAGAAGCACGAGAGGCACCTGTGGTTTAGACATTAATTCACCCAATACTTCAAGGTATCCGAGGGCAGAGGAACAGCCACCTTAAGTGTCAGTATATAGCTGTTGCTCAGATTTTTTATATAAAATTATTTTTTGCTATAACAAAATTAATCCTGATTTTTTTGCTCCACACTTTCTAGAAAATTAAGAGATGCGTATGGTCTGGGTTGCTGATATGCTTCAAACCACTCACCTCTCAGTCCTACAAGCACCAAAGTACTGAAGGTAGATTAAGAGACAAGTGAATTTTATAAATGATGTGCCAGGGTTCAGAAAAATGGGACAGAAGTCATGTATGTTGGAGTAATTGGAGGAGGCCTTCAAATAAAGAAATAAAGATTTACTCATCACCCACCATGTACTCAGTATAGAAAATTCTGTAAGGCAAGTATTAGTTCCCATTTTGAAGATTAGAAAACAGAGCCACCAAGAAGACAAGAGAGTTTCCTTAAATAGTTAAGCAACAAAGCCAAGATTTTGGACCTAGACCACTTCTTGGAAGTGACAAAGTGCTGATTGGGTCTTGAAGGATCGGTGGGAGTAAGCTACTGACAGAGAAACTTTGAAAAGAAAGTATATCTCAGAGGCAGGGTGACCTTTTCTTTTTAAACTTTTTATCTTATTATTGGGGTATTGGGCTTCCCTGGTGGCTCAAGATGGTAAAGAATCTGCCAGCAATGCCAGAGATCTGGGTTTCATCCCTGGGTCAGGAAGATCCCCTGGAGAAAGGAATGGTAACCCACTCCAGTATTCTTGCTTGGAAAACCCCATGGACAGAGGAGCCTGGCAGGCTACAATCAATGGGGTTGCAAAGAGTCAAACAGGACTGAGCTGACTTTCACTTCACTTCATAGCTAATTAACAATGTTGCTATAGTTTCAGGTAGCAGCAGCAACTGGGCCCACATATACATGTATCCATTCTCCCCAAAACTCCCCTCCCATCCAGGCTGCCACATAACATTGAGCAGAGTTCCCTGTGCTATACAGTAAGTCCTTGTTGGTTATCCATTTTAAATATAGCAGTGTGTACACATCCATCCCAAACTCCCTAACTACCCCTTCCCTCCATCCTTCCCCACTTTGGCAACCCTAAATTCCTTCTCTTAGTTTGTAAGTCTGTTTCTGTTTTGTAAATAAGTTCATTTGTATCATGTCTTTTTAGAGTCTGCATATAAAGGATATAATACAATGTTTCTGCTTCTCTGATTTGTGTGTGTCACTCACTCAGTCATGTCCCACTCTGCAATGCCATGGATTGTAGCCCACCAGGCAGCTCTGTCCATGGAATTCTCCAGGCAAGAATACTCTGATTTACTTCACTCAGTATAAGACATGGTGACCTTTAAGGCCATTGGTAGATTATGTTGCCATCATCTCTTTTCCCTCACATTTTCCTCTCTAGCAGGACATTAGAGATGATTGGGAAAGAGAACACTTTATCTGTTCATTCTGTTTGCTAGGGTGCCAATTTTGAAGGATGGCTATGAGGAATTACTCTCAGGGGAGGAATTTTTTAGATAACAACTTTATGACTCTTCAGTAATTTAGAAAGACTAGTTCACAAGAATTTTGTAAAATTCCATCATTTTCTCATTGTACTTCACTCTGGTCTCCAGACATAGAAAACATGATAGAAAAAAGGAGAACTGATGTTATATCCTCACTGCTCTATCCTTCCTGGCTTTTTTTTTTTTTTTGTAGAAGCCTCTTAACTTCATGTGTTAAGTGATCAGTTTACACTGGCAACAGTTGGCTGGCTAGTCCAGCTGAACTGTGTTGTGTCACTTTCAGCCACCAGGTGTCAAGTTCTGGATGCAAACACAACAAAAGATCTTCTGGATCAAACTGTACAGATTTTGCTATATGTTACCACTCTATCATTTATACATTTGATTTCAACATTTGTATTAAAAACTCAGCTTAGAATAAAGGCTGCTTACTCTATACCTTGCTTATTTTCAGCAATTTCATTGATTTTTTTTTTTTTTTTTAGGGTTTTTTGGATGAAGACTTTCAGAAAGCTTGTGAAGTCACTCAGTCGTGTCTGACTCTTTGCAATCCCATGCACTGTAGCCTACCAGGTTCCTCCATCCATGGGATTTTCCAGGCAAGAGTACTGGAGTGGGTTGCATTTCCTTCTCCAGGGGATCTTCCTGACCCAGGGATCAAACCTCGGTCTCCCACATTGTAGGCAGACCCTTTACCGTCTGAGCCCCTAGGGAAGTCCAAAGCTTAGGTTGCACTTTGTAATTCAAGAGTTGAACATATGATTGTTGGCCACACAGTCCAAAGAGGTAAGCAGGCTTAAAGGTCATATAATGTCACAGAAAATATGTCTGAATGACATGAGAAGTTTTAATTCCTAAGAAACTGTTGAAAGAGAAAGAAACTATCCAGGGATTCTGGTGGTTGGAACAGGAGGCTAGAGTTGTTCTCAAAATTTTAACAGCGATGACTTCAGAAAACTAGCAAAAGATCATTAATAAAACAGCTTGGATAATGTAATGGTCAATAAGGATAATGCAGAGCCAAAATATTTTGATTTTATAATCTCTGGATTATATATATATATTTACACGCACACACACACACACACACACACGTATATTTCTTGCCTGAAAAATCCCATGGACAGAGGAGCCTGGTAGGCTACAGTCTAAAGGTTCTCAAAGAACGGACATGATTGAGCAACTAAGCATTCTCTAAAATGGAATACTTAAAACAATTTTTTAGAGAGGCAAGTTCTCAATTTGTTAACACTGAAATACATAATAATTTCCAATGACCTCTTTTAATGGAAGTTTCAAGATTTTCCCTTGTGCTTCTGGTGACTTTTATGACACTACCATTTTCTTGTTTCTGCTCTTAAGACACCACTAATACACCCTAAGAGTATTTTCAAATGCCAAGAGTAAAGAAGAGAAAGAATTTGAGAGAAGAGCAGCATTACTTCAAGGGATGAGAGAAATACCTGAAAGAGACAAGTCAGTCATTCTGGTTACAGGAGAAACCAGTGGACTAGAGCGGACAAAGCATTGCTTTGCCAAGCCAGAGACTAGCAATAGTTTTCTGTTCAAAACAATTTTGATTAGACAAAGGGCATCTAGAAAATGTAGATGGCTGATCCAAAATAATGTAATGTGGAACAGAAATTTTAAAATAGAAACAGCTTTCCAATCTAAAATGAATGTTACACTAAGACTCAGAAATTCAGGCAATTGCTAAGTTGTCATATTTAGTTATATTAATATCTTATAATTAGCATGGCTAATAAATAAGAGAGGTAACTAATATCTGGAACAAAATGGAGCATGTATATATTCCAAGAAAAGGATTTTGTATCTGAAGTGCTTCTCTAACTTTAGTGTGGGTAAAAGTAGTTGAGATGCTTGTCAAATGTTGACTTCCAGGCCTCTATCCCAGAAAGTCTGGTTTAGCAGCTCTAGGATATAGCTTCTTGGTGGTGATCAGTGGTGGCCAAATCTCTGTGGCCCCAGGGACTGTAACCCACCAGGCTCCTCTGTCTATGTAATTTTCCAGGCAATAATACTGGAGTGGGTTGTCATTTCCTCCTCCAGAGGATCTTCCTGACACAGAGACTGAACCTGCACTTTTGTGTCTCCTGAATTGGCAGGCAGATTGTTTACCACTGTGCCACCTGGGAAGCCCAGGCTTTATTAACATTTGGAGTGGGATCATTTTCTTGTTGCAGTGGATTGGCCTGTGCATTGCAGGGTGTTGAGCAGCATTCTGAATCTGTTAGATATCAGCAACACCTCTCTCCAGTCCCATTTCCAGACACTGCCAAATGTCCCCTGGGGGCAAAAACAAAATCACTCCAGGCCTTTGAGAATCACTTGCTTAGGGTAAAGCTTGGGAACCTGTATTTCTAATAAAACATCCAGGTTATTTTGATAAATGTGGTGTATGTGGACCAAATCTGGAGAAACGCTGAACTGAAGTGGTATGAGTTGAATTATGTCCCCTCCAAAATTTGTGTTAAAGTCCTAAACCTCAATATCTCAAAGTATGATCTTATTGGGAAATGGTGACTTAATTAAGATGAGGCCATACCGGGTTAGGGTGGGCCTCTAATCCTTATAAAAAGAGGACATTTGGACACAGAGACAAGTACATGGGGGAAAGGTCATGCAAAGACTGGAGCTCTTTTGCCACAAATCAAGGAATTACCAGCAGCCAGGAGAAGGGCTTGGAACAGATCCTTCTCAGGTGCCTACAGAGGAACCAGGACCCTACAAATACTGTGACTTTACAAGTACAGACTGTGAGACAATAAATTTCTGTTGCTTAAGCATTCAGCTTGTGGTACTTTGTTATAGAAGCCCTAGCAAACTAATACATAAGGAACAAAACACAACCATAACATTTAAAGCAGGATCAGAGAGGAAAATAGAAAGATTGCAGGTAGGCACCAAATCCTAATTTTTCGTTCTCAGTGCATAACATAAAATAGAAGTCAATAGTTTTTCTTTGTATTAAACACTGTCAAAATATATCTTGTGTAATTAAAATAGAGTGAAATCTTATAATTGGTTACTTTACCAGGCTGAAATTGCCCGCGGGGTTCCACTGTTTAATTTTCATCTGGATTATACAGTAATTGGATAGATAGATTTAAAACCTGGAGTTGCCTGGAAGACAAATGGAGTGCATAAATCATGTCATTATTCACACAGAAGGTACCACACAAATGTGAAATTCCACATGAGGCAAAAACGCATTGACTGATCACACTGGAGCTTCAAGAAAGTTTTGACTGTTTCAGGTCACAAAGGCACTGTTCAGAGTACAGCAAGATGGACCGTGTGTACAGCAGGCCAGAGAGTCATGTGCCTACCTGAAGTGGGCAGTTCATACCCTCCGGAAGGATGAAGTCTATGGTATTAAAAGAATGTAAAAGGTATGTATTCTGTTTCATTCGTGATAAAAGTGAACATTGCTGTCAATTATTATCTGAAGACAAAAACAAGAGCTCAGTGGCAAATGTCAGTCTTTTTCTCCTCTAGAAACATATAAGAACCATACTAATAGATATCTTAGGTCCTCGTTTCCACCCACAATTGAATTGGAAACAAAAGTCTTCTTGTTTCAATATTTTAGAGTAAAAGTTGTAAAGCTTCTATTGCAGATAAAGGGCCCCAAATTTTTCTGCTCCCATAAGCGTATATGAAATAGTTAATGATAAAGAGTAGTAGGAAGTGATGACTAATGACGAAGAGCTCCTAGAAATATCCTCTAATTAAGCTCAGGGATCAGATACAAACAAGGCTAGGCGTAGATGGCTTAAGTGCCCTCGCCAAATCAGGATAAGCTAACACGATGTTAACCTGGAAGCCTCTGCCAAACTCTTAAACATGTTTACCTCACAAAATCCCCTCACCTTCAATCTAGGAAACTTTCCAGTGTGCCCTTCAGAGTCACATGAAGTTGCTATCAAGCGTCTCCCTTCCCCTTAACAGGTTCGCCTTCTGGGGGCAAGATGGGGCGTTGGAAATTAAGGTTGCTATCTGTTCTCAAGGTTATTCTCTTTCTCCAAGAGAGCAAGTCCAGCAAAGAACTGACTCAGTGTCTCTGAGAGGAGAGCTGCACTCAGACAAAAAAAGATCTCGGGAACGAATAGCAGATGTAAACAGATTTTCACAGCAACGCTGATACAATACTATGTCTTCTCTGACCTCTCCAACGGTTTTCTCAAAAGTGACTGAATCCTCTCGCCCCTCTTTGTCAGCGAGCCCCTGTTGTTCCTCACAATCACCGCGCTCTCTACCCGCACACCACCACCGACAAAGGTGACGGCGGACAGGCGGCTACAGACTCTTAGGTCCATTGCGGCCAGCTCCGGTCTAGGGCGGTTGCCTACAGGGACTTTTGACGCCGAATAAACCTAATCTCCCACGTCTGATCTGTCAAGCTATTGTGCCTCCGGGGACAGCAGAACAGGTGAGGACGGCTGGAGGGAACCAGTTCCCGCACTGTCTGAAAGGGCGACTAGAGGGTGAGGGCGTGAGGGAAAGGAGGGCCGACGGCGTGATAAGGCAGGCGGCGCGGCCGCAGCACCCCCCTCTCTCAGGGATCACCTTGCGCTGACCTAGTTGAGCTGCGCAGGACGGAACCGCACAGGGCTGGGGAGAAGGGCGGGGCGGCGGGGGCGGAGCCAGCGGTGGGCGGGGCCTCGAGGGCGATATTGCTGCGCTCGCCGGTCATTTGCCGGCTCTCTAGCCGGAAGCGTCGGGGAGGCGTTGGCGGCTGCGGAGACCCAGGCGAGGGCGGCGCACGTGGTGACGTGCGAGGGGGGTGCGGCGCGCGCGGGCCGCCGTGGCGGCAGTGTCTCCGGGACGCGCGTGGAGGGCGGTCGCTCGGGGCTGCTGTGCAGTTTCGCCGCTTGCGGTTCGAGCGCGGCTGTGCCAGCGAGCGAGCGAGCGAGCAAGCAAGCGGGTCTCGGCGAATTCCCGGTGCGCTCCCGCCTCACAGACTCCGCGGGGCTGTGCTCTCGTCCCCTCCTGGGTCGGTCGCTCCCCCCTTCGCGACATCGAGGCGCTTTCGGTTGGGCCGATTCCCGCCCGCTTCCTCCTGTTCCCCGTTGAAGCTCCGGAGATGAGTTTTTTCATCTCTTCAGAGATGAACCAGGTAATCTGCGCTGGTCCCACCGGGGGAGGAAGGGCAGCGTGCAGCCAGACTCCGACCTGGCGGATGGAGCGGGCGGCTGGGGTTTTAGGGTGGGAGGCGGGGAGCGGTGCCGGGCCCCAGAGGGGCAGGACTCGGCAAGACGGCGCAGCCGCTGCTCTCTGTGGACGAGGAGCCGGCGCCGCGCGGACCCCGCGCTCCCGGCTCTGCCGTGGTTGCCCGGTCGCGTCAGCGGCCAAAGGCGGGTGGCGGGCCGCCTCGGAGAGCGCTGCGGCCGAGGAAGCAGGACGAGAGGGACGAGAAGTTTTGGGTTGAGGGGGTCCTCGGGGGGCCTGGGTCAAGATCTTCCGGAAGGAGGGCGCGGGAATCTCCGTTTGTGCTGTCAGGAACCCCGCCTAGTGTGTGTGGAGGTGTCTGCCCCGGGTCTGGGTTCTCTCCCGTGAGCCCTCGCAGGACCCGGCGACTGTGGGCGGGGAGCCGGCCCAGGGCCCCGTCGGTGCTCCCGGGCCTGGGGTAGGGTGGCACCGCGCTCCCGATCGCCGTGGGCCGCGGGGTCCTTTGTTCCCGCTCCACGTTGCCCGCTCTTCTTGCCAAGCGCGGGGAGAAGGGGGCGGGAGGAGGGAGGGAGCTGCTGCCCTGACGTCTCGGCGTTGAGTGACTGCGGGCCGGGCCAATCCCGGGCGGGGGTGTGCAGACGCTGGGCGCCTGGCCTCCCGGCCTTCGGAGTGGGCTCCGGCCCGGCCGCGCGGGGGTGAAGGCCTGGGACTGCAAGGATCTCCAGACAGTCACTCTGGGGCCCTCGCCGCTTTGTTTCCCATCCCCGCCGCACCCCCGTACCCCCCCCCCCAAAAAAAAAATCAGCAGAGAGGTTTGTTCTTTTTCCGTCGTTCTGCGCGTTTTGCGTAGCGACTCTGGTTGTAAACTCATGATGGTAGGAAGGTATCAGGCAGTAGGATCAGATTGAGGGTTAGCCCTAGGGAGACTTGAACCACAAATATTTGAGAAATTTTACTTTCCCCCCAATACAAAGTAGATCTATTGTTTGAGGCCGCTGCCGTTTCGAAAACTAGTAAGTAGAAATCGGAGGCCTATTAAAGGATTTATTTTGTTATTCAGTGTCTGTTGTCAGTGATGGAGATCTGGAACATCCTGGCATCAAGCTGTTCTTTGAGGACTACGTGTGTTGGTGACCTTCTGTCCACTAGTAAATAACAACTCTGTAAGCGTGGTACTACTCTAAAAGTTCAAGTGTAGCAGGGACTAGACTGAGACAATATTTTCTTTCAATTATTCTAGCACTGGTGGTTAAGGAAAAGAAAATATTGATGAATAGCTTTAGGCATAATCATGCTGAAACTTCTCCTGAAAGGTGCGGAAGGAGCAGTCGTTATTTGTGTATCAGAAGGTGAGGTGTACACTATTCAGAATTGGGTTGAGAATACCATAATTCAATACCAGCTGGCAGGCTACTTGTCAGATGTCTGTAATGTGTAGTGAGAGAGAAAACTGAACTAGCATCACTGACCTAAAAGAGACCCAGAATGATTTTCCTAATATTTGAAATCTGTCATTAATACATATTAATTTCTTAATTTATCTTAACTTGTAGTTCTGTTTTTCCATTTCTTGCTCTCAAAAGAGCGTTCCAGGCTTTGGTTTTAAATTAGTGTCTTTTTGCTACTTACTTTGGTGTGGGGTTTTGTTGCTTGAAGAAAGTTTTAGGTGGCAGTTGAATATGTTTTGCAAATAAGTGTTTTGGTTTTTTATTGTAAAATGTTTTTCTGTTGGGGAACTGTCTTAATCATTGACGTTAGACGAAGTACCCCTAAAAATCACTTCATTGACTTTTCAACGTTATGGTTGTATACTCAAATTTACAAGAAGGTTGGGAATCCCCATCCCTTGTGCTTGGGAGTGTAAATGGAAAAATTAACGAATAAGGGAGTGATTTCTGTTTTCTGTCAGAACCACAGAAAAGACATTCTTATATTCACTGGTGAACTTTAATTTGTTGTTGCTCTTGAGTCGCTAAGTCTTAAGTCTGACTCTGCGACCCATGGACTGCAGCACGCCAGGCTTCCCTGTCCTTCATTGTCTCCTGGAGTTTGCTCAGACTCATGTCCGTTGAGTCAGTGACACTATCGAACCATCTCATCCTCTGCCAGCTTCAAGTAGAAATTTTAATTACCACCTTGTAAATGATTTCGAAACCTACACCTCACTATCCTTAACACTTTTGACATCAGCCTGGATGCCCAACAGGTACATCAGCCGTATAAATATCCCAAAGCAAATTTCCTCTTTTCCTTCCCGGCTTTAAGCATGCAGTAAACTAAAAATGTCTGTTTTGCTTTTTGAGTTCTAATTTTGATATTGATTTTTATAATGATGCCAGATATCTTCTCTAAAATATCATTGTTGCCTTAGTTAGGATAAGCAAGGGTATAATAATTTCCCATGTTTTACCCATTCCTCTAGACCACCTCCACGTTTCTGCTAGTGTCTTGTGCCTCTGTGCTAAAAATTCTGCTCTGTTTCAATCATCTTAATGTTGATCTCTTACTTCCTCTCCTACTATTTACCATATACATCCTGCAAACCACAGTCTGTTGAAATAGAAATTGTTGCAGTTTCTGGAATATGTGTGCTTTCGTACCTTTTCCCCCTTTTGTGTGAACTGTTTTCACTGCTTAGTTTGTCTGTCTTTCTGATTGGTCTGTCTGTGGAGTGTGCGAGGCTGGGGAATGGAGTTAACTTTGTTGTGTTATGAGCATCACATTCCAAATTGTTTGCCATCTGTTTGGAGCCATAAGTGTGTGTGGGATGTAAGAACTGCAGAACAATGAGGTTAATGGCATGGAGTGGGTGAGTTTGGTGAGTTTTGGTGTATATAGATGGATTATTTCAGATATTGGGAATCTATAACTTCTAGTTTTAAAAAGATTTGTAGATTTTCTTTGTATTCTAAAGTCTGTTCGTTAAAAATGGAGTTACTTGCTATTTTCTAAGTTGGCTACCCTCAAAAATTGCCTTGAAGCTTAAATAATGCTTGTAATTTGCCTTGAGGTTTTTTTAGGATGCTTTAAAAGTTTGATGATAACATTTTATCTTACTCTTATTGAAAGCCCAAGAATGTTGAGGGAGATCTATGGCTTTTCTTTTTTTTTTTAAACATCTCTTTGATAAGACTTACTGAATTGTATTTGGGTTAAGCTAATCTTTGGGGGAGCTGTGGTAACAGGTGAACTCCTGGGTTTTACTAAAGCAGTTTATTTATTTATGAGTTGCCTGTCTCTCCTTGCACTGACCAAATTAAAAAACTAAAGTGTATTTACCAGAATATATTGTACTTGACTTCAGTTTTCATTTTAAAAGTGGATTTGTCAAAGGTATTTTTTAAATATCAAATAAAATTCTAAATTTTATACTTTCCTATAAGCCTGGGATGTTGGGACTTTTGCCTTGGCTTTTCAAATATATATATATAAAAAATTCTCCCCACATATTTGTTCCATCGAGTTTCATAGACCAGATGAAGATATATTAATTTTTGGAAAGGCTTAAAACTTAATTTGCCCACGCTGACTTCGGTGAGAGTGAATGTGAACTTTGAAAGACATGGTTTTGCGGGCAGAAGTTGATGTGACCTCCTCCAGTTTGGGGGTGGGTGAGAGAAGGGGCACACAGTAAGTGAGGGCACAGTAAGTTTGTTGCATTAATTTAAATGTCAAGTGAACTTGAGTTAGCTTTTGAAATCAAGTAGGGTTGTACTAATCAGCAGACATCAAAGAGATGAGGTTCATATTAAGACCTTGCTTTACTAGAAAATCACCTAGTACTACCCTGGTGGTTCAGATGTAAAGAACCCACATGTAATGTGGGAGATCTGGGTTTGATCCCTGGGTTGGGAAGATCTCCTGGAGGAGGGAATAGCAACCTAGTCCAGTATTCTTTCCTGGAAAACCCTCTGGACAGAAGCACCTGGCGTTCTACAGTTCATGGGGTCGCAAAGAGTCGAACAGGACTGAGCAACTAAATACATAGTAATGTAGTAGCACTCTGTTGCAAAACTAATAACATTGTGCGAATGTGTATGGCAGGAGTTGCTCCAGATTTTCTCCAGTGAAGTGAAAGTTGCTCAGTCGTGTCCGACTCTTTGAGACCCTAGAGACTCAGCCATGGAACTCTCTGGGCCAGAATACTGAAGTGGGTAGCCTTTCCTTTCTCCAGGGGATCTTCCCAACCCGGGAATTGAACCGGATCTCCTGCGTTGCAGGAGGATTCTTTACCAACTGAGCTATTTTCTCCCGAAGGACTAAAGTGATTTTTAACCATCTGGGTTTTTGTTGTTGTTTTCCAAGATAAATTTTAGGCAGAACTTTGACATTATCAAATATACCCTCAGAGATCCTGCGAGTGTGATTCCACAGCACTGTGATAAAGCGGTCATATGAATTTTTTGGTTTCTCAGTGCATATAAAAGTTATGTGTACATGATATTTGCGTCTGTTAAGTGTCCAAAGCATTATCTTTAAAAACGACTTATATACCCTAATTTAAAAATACTTCATTGCTGAAAAATGCTGACCATCATCTGACAATGCAGGGTTGCCACGGACCTTCAATTTGGGAGCGGGGGCTGCGGGGGAAGCAGTGTTTGTCAAGTACAGTACTTTGGTGGTTTAGTCACTCAGTTGTGTCTGACTCTTTGCAACCCCATGCACTGTAGCCCACCAGGCTTTTCTGTCCATGGGATTCTCCAGGCAAGAATACTGAAGTGGGTTGCCATGCCTGCCTCCAGAAGATCTTCCCAACCCAGGAATCGAACTCCAGTCTCCTGCATTATAGGCAGATTCTTTACCATCTGAGCTACAAGGGAAGCCCAAAATATAGTACAGTGAAGTGCAGTAAAGCAAGATATGTTTGTGTATAGATGCCATTTTTAAAAATTATTCTTGATTAAATCAAGGCTAGTTTACAAAGAAATACTGGATTAAACCAGTCAAGGCTTAAAATATTTAAAATCTCCATTTGTGTTTTGTTTCTCAGAGGGCATACACTTAAATCATTTCTAACATAACTTGCATAGAAAGGTTCCTCCCTTTCGCCCTTGCGTAGATTTTCCTAACGGGCTAGGTCTTGGCTGAAAATATTTAAGGTTTCTTTTAGATAGAGTGTTCTCTGTACACAGAATTAAGAAGAGCTGAATTAACTAATCTAGATGCAAGTGAACAGCAGAGGAAATCAGTATTACACGATGGTATGAAATAGTTTCATTGCAGGTACAAGCATTGAGAACAGTCCCAACTGGAGTCCGAATACTCTGGTTTCTTTGAGATAAAACCTAAGCTATGGAGAAACCAGTGAAGGCATACAGGATTCCGGTTGTGCTGCTGTTGAACTTAATACGGTAATTTGTTGAAATAGAACAAATTAGTCTTTAAGTGGGTTCTGGGGTAAGAGACCATTCATATTAACATAATTGTTAGAATTGTGGGCTCGATTGATGCCAAGTAATTTTAAGATTTCCATTTTTAAAAGTATGCACATCTTTCAAATAATTTCTTATTTAGTTCTGGTTTGTAGAATTAGACACTGGTTTAATAGCAGTTCAGGTAATTAAAAAATAAGAACCAGCTGACTTTGACACTTTAGTTAATGATGTGAAAATAAGGGGGAAAGAGAAGGTAGGAGGACTGAATGTGATTTCCTTGAAGATTTGATTTGAACTAGAACTTTCTGTTGGTAGTTTATTACTATATATGAGGAAAAAATGATTGTATAAAGCACAGACATTAATATTTTCCTTTTTGTTTATTTAGTTTGTTTCAACAAATTACTTACCTTTATATTCAGGTTTCTAGGCTACTTGTTTTGGGGCGGGGGGTGGGAAGGATCCAAAGATAAACAAGACAGAGGCTCTGCTTTCAAGGGACCTTGAATCATGGAAGATAAGCAGGTACACAATCCAGAATAGACCAGCTGGAAGATCACACAAACACCCTTTCAGAGAGGGTGCAGTATGTGGAGGATGAAGAGAAACTACGTTCTCAGCTGGAGGGATTTGGTGGGGGCTCTGTGAAGGTAAGATGTCATCTGCAGAGGCTGTGTTAAGGGTATTCCAAGAAGACAAAACTTGAACAAAGGTACAGAGATGAGGAAGTATGCAGATCATATTTGGGAAACAGTATATCTGGTTTGACTGTAACATTGTATACACATTTGGAAATATTGAAGGTTGCTGTTGGCTGGTAAAAGCAGACAGATCACATGTTTGTGTATTAATTACAATCTCACAGTAACGAATATTAGAATAAACCAATATTTACATTTGTTCTCGTATATCTCACTTAAATGATAAGTTACTAGCGCCTGCCTTCTGGGGAGAGGTTTTTTTTTTTTCAGTCATCTGAGTGGTTGCAAGTTAAATGAAAATATTTACGTATAGTTACATTTGTATTATTTTCTGTATTGTGCCATTTACCTTGAAATGTGTTTAAGATCAGGACTTAGCATGATCTACCTAGATCAATGACATTCTTTGATCATTCTGAATATCCAAAAATTTTCATTATTACAGATTATGATGCATGATTATCACAGAAGAAATTCGTGTCTATAGCTTTAAAGGACTTGATTACATCATTTTCAAGCCTGATAGTTTTGGAATCTCCATTAGAGCTTAAGACTCCTCTGCCTTCACTTCAACCACCTGTCTTCATACCTCGCCGAAGTGCTGAGTTTCCTTTGTCCTTGGATTATTTAAAGCGTCCCAGAAATACAGTTCTCACCAGTATAGCAGGTAAGTGAATATTCAGTGGTCGGTGCACACATTCTTTTTCCCTAAAGACTGTGCCAAGTACACCAGCATCCTTTCATAATTTTTTTAAAAGGCAGAGAAGTCAATATTATTTGTAGAAAAAAATTTTTTTTCCTGTTGTTTTCTTTTCTGTAAACTGTTTTGAATTTAAATAAATCACTTACTTCAAACCAAAACCTTCTTTTACCACTTTTCAATGATGTATTTTGTGTAGCCATTAGTCCATTTGTTCACAGGAAAAAGTGAAATGGAAAATTTTTTAAAGAACATACATTTCTAACATGTATTGTTATGAGACAAGTAGTTTAGAATAAATGAAACTTGCAAACGGGACAGAATTTTTTGAACTATTTTTATTGGCATATAGTCAATTTACAGTGTTGTGTTAGTGTCAGGTGCACAGCAAAGTGATTCAGCTATACATACACATATATTTTCTTTTTTAGATTCTTTTCTCCTATGGGTTATCATAGAATATTGAGTAGAGCAAAAGGAACACAATTAAGTTAGTCTTATATCAGTTTTTCTCAAGTAAAGGAGTGACTATAGCCCCAATCCAAAGAATCTGTATGTAATGACCACTTCATATCCTTCCAGACTTTTCAGTTAGTTATTGTATGGATTTAGGGAGGGCTGGGTTTCCATTTTCTTCCCCTTCACAGTGTGTGTACTAATAGAAACCTGGCCAAAATTGCTAAGCTATCGTACCACTACTGTACAAATTCCTAAAAAACTTAGGACCAAAGTATAGGGGTGCAAAGGCTTGGACATTCAGTGCCAGTGTGGTTTTAGCAATGTTCTTGTGTGATAACATTTTTATGTATTGTTGATAAAATGGAGATTGAAAATTAAAGATACTGTATTACTTTCCAAGATGTTATAAAAATCACCATTTATAAGTAAAAATAACTTGGCTTTATTTCTGCCCTTTAGCCAAATTTGAAAGGAAAAATGATTCCCAATGGATATTTAATGTTTGAAGATGAAAATTTCATTGAATCTTCTGTTGCCAAACTGAATGCCCTGAGGAAGAGTGGGCAGTTCTGTGATGTTCGGCTTCAGGTATTCAGAACGTGACTGGGAGCTTGCACATCTGATCTTTCATACTGAGAACCGTGTGTCCTGGACTGGCTTATTTTCTTTCTCATAAGAGGCATTTAATGACATAAATTTAAGAGACTATGATTTACCTAGAAACGTAAGATGGAGGATACGATGTAGTGATTAGCTGGAGAAATACGTAGTCCACAGTGCTTCTAATTGTGATGCCTGATGTTGCAGGTCTGTGGCCATGAGATGCTAGCACACAGAGCAGTCCTGGCCTGCTGCAGCCCCTATTTATTTGAAATCTTTAATAGTGACAGTGATCCTCACCGAGTTTCTCATGTTAAGTTTGATGATCTCAATCCGGAAGCTGTTGAAGTCTTGTTGAATTATGCCTACACTGCTCAGTAAGTTCTCTGAAGTACATCATATAACTAGGAAATGAAATTCCAAGTCCCTCTAAATTTATTTAAGAATCTGTGTTGTAAGGCCGTGGTATGATAAATGATACAGAACCTTTTTTTCCCAATAGGTTGAAAGCTGATAAGGAACTAGTCAAAGATGTTTATTCTGCAGCAAAAAAGCTGAAAATGGACCGAGTAAAGCAGGTAGAGTAACAGAAGTAATATACAAGGAGTAATGTTACTAGGGGGGTCTTACATTATATAATTAGTTTGTATAATTTGTCATAAGACATCTGTTGGTCTCAAGAACTTGAAAATGTCCCCTTTTCCTCCCTAGAGATGTAAGTATATAATTTTAGCTGTTTAGCTATAGTAACGGTCACACTTCCTCTTCACATAATTCAAGCTACAGTCTTGCTCTTTCAATAGCCTTCTCTGGTGGGGTATCCATGTCAGTCTCTGATAACATGAATTAAAAGTCTTGATTGTTCTCAGTTAATCGTATAACTCATACCCTTAATTTTTGATTCTTCTACATTTCTCAGTTCTTCTTTAGAAATTTTCTTTCTAGAATTTAATGCCATCAAGAAGTGGCATTAATAATTTATAGAAGAAAAAAACTTTTAATCCTGTAATGTAGGGGGGTCAGTAAACTGCAAGCCTTAGGCCAGCTGCCCGGTTTTATAAAGTTTTATTGTACCGTTGCTCTCATGTGCAGGTGGTCTGTGGCTGCTTTCTACCTGCAGTGATAGAGTTGAATAGTTGTGAGAAAGTAGGGCCCACAAGCCTAAGCTGCTTACCATTTGGTCCCTTAGGGGGAGAAGTTTTCCTGTTCCCCTCATGTCACTCTGCTTAAAAACCCTTCTGTGCTTATAGCACGTGTCCTTCAGGGTAGCATTCCAGGCTCTCCCTAATTTAATTGCTATTCCTCCAAAATATTTCCTGATTTTCTTATCTTTTGTTCTTGCCAAACTAAATTGTTGCAGCATCTTGCCTAGTACCTATCTGCATTCAACATCATCTCCCCTCTAGAGGCCAGTTCAGATAATTGCCTTTATGAAGCCTTGTCTGTCATTCTAGTGGGAGATATTTATCTGAACATTTCATGTACATTTTCATAGCATTTCAATTTGTTGCATTTTAAACAACTTATGTATTTGTATGTTCTTCTTCGATGTTATTATTTGTATGCATGTATCCCTGGTAGCTCAGACAGTAGAAAATACGCCTGCAATGTGGGAGACCTGGGTTCGATCCCTGGGTTGGGAAGATCCCCTGGAGGAGGGAATGGCTACCCACTCCAGTTTTCTGGTTTGAAGAATTCCATAGACAGAGGATCCTGGCAGGCTGTAGTTCATGGGGTTGCTAAGAGTCAGACATGACTGATTGACTTTCACTTCACGTCATTCTTTCTACAGTTTAACTTGTTCTATTAAGGCAGTGAATTTTTTTTGATTAATTTTTATATTGTCACATAGTACTTACATGGAATATTAAATATTTGTTAAATAAAGTGTGTATAAATGTTGACACTTGTGTATTTTTTCCCCCAAGGTTTGTGGTGATTATTTACTGTCTAGAATGGATGTTACCAGCTGCATCTCTTACCGAAATTTTGCGAGTTGTATGGGAGACTCACGTTTGTTGAATAAGGTTGATGCTTACATTCAGGAACATTTGTTACAAATTTCAGAAGAGGAAGAGTTTCTTAAACTTCCACGGCTAAAGGTAAAATCTATAAAGATTAAAGATGTAAAGGTAAATCTATAAAGAGATATATACTGTTTAGTTCCAAGAACATAATCTTTGTTCATGTTTCAAGCAAGTGAGTAATGATTATGAAAATGACGGTCCATTGAAGTGATGTTATTTTTATCAGTGTAATGGTTTCCTGCCTACCAGTTTGTTTACTTTTCTTTTTTGGCTACTGGTTTCCTTATAAATTAGAATAAATGTATGGAGCATGTACATATATGAAGCATGTAGAATAAATGTAATTGGGCATCTATGACAGCTTTGTTATGAAATAGAGAATTAAGAGGCTCAGGCTCCACACTGATCCATGTGTCTTTGTTTTTTCCCCACTCTAGCTGGAGGTAATGCTTGAAGATAATGTTTGCTTGCCCAGTAATGGCAAACTGTACACAAAGGTAATCAACTGGGTGCAGCGTAGCATCTGGGAGAATGGAGACAGTCTGGAGGAGCTGATGGAAGAGGTTAGTTTTAAAGTAAATGGGACTCAACAGTTATTAAAAATGATTTTGCTATAACATGAAGGATTCCCTTTCACTTTTATTTTATAACAATGACCCTAAAGAATTTAAATTTTGCTATAGGTACCCCTAAGCTGAGAAACAGGGGGGGTGTCCAGGTGAGCTGAATGAACTGTTCAGTTTGGTCTTCTGCTTTTCTTTTTTTTATTTCTTTGCTTATTATGTGCTGTTAACTTTCTTTAAAGTAGCATGTAATTTGCTGTAGACATGGGAGGTGGTACTGAAGTTTTCTGTAGATTCTGAATTTTTCTTCACAGGTTTTGCTTTAAAATTGACAAGTAGGTAAAAGCTTCTAACGGTTGTTCCTCCCCATTGATTTATCTCCCCATAGGTTTATTAACAAAACTAGGATACCCAAGACTGAAGAGACAAGAAGAATCCTCAAGTGTATTGACACGTAAAGAAGCAGCAGTCCTGCCCCAGTTCTCCTAAGAAAAATCCGCTGTGGGCAGAGAGCGATGATGATTTAATGGTGTTTACTCCTTTACAGGATTCTTATCTTTAAAGCTTTGTGTCTTTCAATGGTGTTGTTCATACATAGAGTCACTCGCTTAACTTGGGCTACTTTTTAAAAAATACACAAGGAAAAATCGACGGAGAAATGATGGGAATTAAACATGCAGGTGAAACAATGGAGTTGACCTTGAGTTTATCCTTCCACTTAAGCCTTTCAGATACACGAAAGGCTTATTATCAAACCGGTTAGGCCTTTAGAAACCCAGTTATCATTATACTCTAAAAAGGCGAAGAGGTGATCTTTAAATTCTGTCTGGTTTCCCACTTGAAAATCAGATGCATTAGCCATGTGTTTGCATCTGTTACGGGAGGTAGCTGTGCAGGTTGTTTGAACTTTTGCATTTGTTTTTTTTTTATCTCTTTTTTTTTGACATTGCCTGCAGAACAGAAATATGTTTATACATATTAGACCACTTGTCTTCGAAGGTGTAAACCATATTCAGTATATTATTGTAAATATGTACATTCTTTAAGAGTATATATATATTGTAGTGGTCCCTTTTTTTTCTTAATGCTATATCCTGGAAGCTATGAAAAAAATGAAGATTTCTTTCAAGCCAACCATCTTTCAAGCCAGCCAAGCCAAGGACTCTTCAGCCAGTATTAGAAGATTCTGTATCTTTTTTTTTTTTTTTTAATTTTTACCACCATGACATGTTTTCTTTACTTTGGGGATCCTGCCAGAGTAAGATGTCAAGAATTCAAGAAGCACACTGGAGGTTACCGTGAGGCGTGGTGTGATCTGCGTAGCAGTGGAGTAGCCATGGAGACAGCAGCCACATGGGTGTTCTGTTGCTGTTTTGCAGGTTCAAACCTTGTACTACTCAGCTGATCACAAGCTGCTTGATGGGAACCTACTAGATGGACAGGCTGAGGTGTTTGGCAGTGATGATGACCACATTCAGTTTGTGCAGGTACACAATGCACATCTGAGGTAACCTCAGGTTAAAGTTTGATAGAGCATTTTATAGTATACTGAAATTTTCCTTAAAAGGAAAGTGAAAGAACTTCATTGGTATAACTGGACAGAAACATTTGTGGGAGAAAAACCAGCCTATCTTTCTTAGCATTACTACCACTTTTGCCACATAAAAAGAAATGAACACAGCAAACTAGGAAACCCCATTTAAATTTTTTTTTTTCTCGATCAAATAGGATTTGCAAGTAGTAAGAAAAAGGGCCAATAAGATGAAGCAACATAGAAATTCTTTGGTTTTTTGGTTGGACTATAAAGGATAGTTGTCAGAGAAATGATTGTTAAACCTAAGTTTTATAAATCCAGGTATAAACTTTTTTCGTTTATGGGTAAATAACATAGAGAAAAGTGTACAGATCATAAGTGTCATGCGGTGAACGCCTTGGCTTAAAAACTTCTTCTTGGATGAAGAAGAGATTTCAAGCATTCTGTAAGCCTTCCTCTTGCCCTCTTCCCAGTCACTGCCCTACACTACCCCAAGGGGAGCCATCATCTGAACTGACACAGTACCTTAGTTTGCCCATGTTTGAAATTTATGTAAATGGCTATACAGTATGTATTGTTTTTGTTTGGCCTTTAGCTCAGCATTGTATTTGTGAGGGATGAACTGTAAAGTAGGCTGAGTTGACCCAAATTAAAGGATGTTTCCCTTTAGTAATTAAAAGGTAAATGGTAGATTCAGAAAACAACCTATATGGTGATATTATTAGGTGTTCTGTGTCAGTAATGGCTGAAAATTTTTATTTTCACAGAAGTTTTTGGGTGTAAATTCGTGTATTCTGAACATTGAGGCTATCTTTCCCCTTGTCTCCAAACATTGTAGGTTAACTTTTTTTTTTTTAAGTACTTTTTCATCAGGCAGTGGTTGAGTGCCTACTAAGTAGGCCATGATGTTACATAAGAGGGCCCCCAGATGTGTAAGAGACAGTTTCTGCTTCCAGGACCTTACAGGAGGAGGTAAAATAGAACAGACTTACAAGTGTTACCGACAAAAGACATTCAGGGAGGGTGGAACCAAGAGAGGAAAAACCAGGGAAATTTCACAGTGGAGGCAACATTTGAGCAATCTGAGGATATAGGAGAGTTTGCGTGGCAGACAGAAGCGTGTCAGGTAGCAACGGATACCTGGACAAGGAGAGTCTCTTGGAGTTGCAGGTCTCACAACTGGAAAAGTAGGTAAATATAGTATGATTGGGGCTTCATACTTTATTCTACAAGTAAAGTGGAGGGCTTTCAAAGAATTTTAGGCAAGGGAGTAGAGTGATCTAAACAAACATTTCACAACTTTAATAATAGTGAAAAACTGGGCAACAGTCCAGCAGCAAGGGGACTGGTCAAATTATGGTTGTTTCCATACTGCCAAGATCTATAAGTTAATTAGTCATATTTTAGACCAACAGTGAACGGTTAGGTGGCATTCTCTGGGTTGTGGAATTCCAGCTGATTTGGGGGGGGGGCGGGGTTGTTTTTTACTTACTAAAAGCATCAAATCCTATTATGACCAGGTACAGAGGATAGAGGAAAGCTTGTGAGACCACTCTGTAGTCTATTAGAAGCAGTAGTAGTAGTTCAGGTTAAAAAAAAAAATGACGAGGGCTTGATTTGAGGAGAAGGGAAAAGGGTAGACTAGATGTTTCTAGTTGCAAAGGTCCTTAGTGGCTATTTGGGAAAATCAAGGAAAAGAAAGAATTTGAGGGTGAGCAGGCTCCTGACAAGTGTGACTTATTCAAAGGAAGTGCCATGAATAGAGAGAATGAGGTCAGAAGGAAGAGGAGACTAGGCTTCAGAAATAGGAAGTGAGGTCGAGAAGCAGCCATTAGCCTCAGAGTGTTGTTCAAGCTAGCTAACAGGAGAAAAAGGTCGGAAGGACGGAACTGTTGACTTTGTTAAATCATACTCAGAGGGGATGTAAAAAGGTCAGGGGTTTCTCATCTACACTGGTTTTAGGAAGCCGCTCTGTAACCTTTAGTGGTTGTAATTTCCCAGAAGTTACTAAGGTTAGGAAACCCTTACAGCTTGAGAAGCGATGGTGGCTGAAGAAGCCACCAGGGGCCACCCCCGTGGGGAGGGGAGTGCAGAGGCAAAGTGTGGGCCAGTGGGTGTGCTGAATGGGAAGTCGATATGGGAAAGTTTGAAGATAAAGGAGAGGAAAGAATTGGGTTTGAAAATGTGGAAGAAATATAAAAGAGTTGATCAGCATTTCTGTATAAGGCTTGTAGTTACATAACACTAAGTAGTCATCCTTGTTACCATGCTTTTTCCTTTCACATTGATTTTTCTCTCAAAGCCGTACATTAGAACAGTTTTCTTAACTGGAGTAAAAGCCATCATCAACTTGTGTTACTTTGACTTCCTTTTTTCCCACAGATTGGGATAGGGTTTTATGTACCTTCTAATTGCTATTAGCAGAGAATACAGACTATCATAGTATAAAAGAGTGGCTTTATATTCAGAATTCCTAATTTTTATTTTTATTGTTTTATTGCCTTAGGCATTGTATATCTTCTCTGATTTTCAGTACTTTTGTCTATGAGATGGATAAGTGTATTGCCCTTCCTGAATTAAAAGAGATGATGTGAATAAAGTACCCAATAATACCTAGGTATATAATGTGTAAATGGAATTTGATAAAAACCATTATCATGGTAATGGTTTCTCTCAAAATAGCCTCTTATACTGCAACCACATTTGCTGAATTGCCCACACCAAACTTGATCGTTTTTTCCCAGCTTCAAGTAGCTACCAGAATCTTTTTCTCTATTGTCACATATCCTTCTTTCACTCTAGAGAGAAATGTCCTTTAGAGATCCTACCTCCCCATGTGGCTCTGGCCCTGGGGACCAAAATAGATGAGCAAACTTGGCGAGGCATTGAAGGTGGCACCTGTTCATTCAGCAGGCACTTCCTGCCAGGGTAGTCTTGGCTCTTCTGATGCCTTGTGATCTTATTCCTTAGAAGTATTTAGGGCTCAAGAAGTTGGAAGAAAACCGTCAAAGGGGACTTGTGCATGAGGGTACAGTGTAATCATAGTCATTTGGAAATTTGCAGCTTTGCCCATTTCTCCCTCTTTCATGTTCCTGTGTATTCCTTTATGAATGTTTGATTCTGTTAGTGTTACTGCTGTATTAATTTCTGAGTACCATTTTTTATTTTTGTGTTTTGATGTAGTTTTACTTGTCTGGGCTTCCCTGGTAGCTCAGATGGTAAAGAATCTGCCTGTAATGTGAGAGACCTGGGTTCAAACCCTGGGTCCGAAGATCCCCTGGAGAAGGGAATGGGAACCCACTCCAGTATTCTTGCCTGGAGAATTCCATGGACAGAGAAGCCATGGAGAATTCCATGGACAGAGAAGCCTGGCGGGCTACTGTCCATGGGGTCACAAAGAGTCGGAAACAACTGAACGATTCACACTTTTGTCTAGAAAACCACTCTAATACCTTTAGGGCAATCCTAAAGAAATATAGTTGTAAATGTTTCTTGTAGTTGCCACTTTTTTCCTATAAAATCACTTTCAGAGATTGGATGGATATGTCTGCTCACTTTTTGCTAACATTGTATGAAGGATGATACCAGTACATATGATTTAGTTAAGTTTGGCAGTTTCATGGAGATAGTGAGTAAAATGTATTTTCTCAGTTAATTCTTGCTATTTTAGATTTATAACTTATTTCAGGAGATTCTAGACTGTGAGCTGTGGATTATGAGGGAGGAGATTCCTTTTGTTCTTCCCTTGAGTATTTTGCTACTTGATCTGCAATGTTTTTTTAATTGTTGAACTTGAGCTTTTTCTTGACCAGGGTAGGTATAGTTGTTTCCTTATTAAGTGGAGGTGGAAGAATGCCAGTGACACATGTCAGTCAGAAAGTGTTGGTTTGTGTTCAGTCTAGGTGTGCTGTAAATGTCATGGGTAAGTGAAGGGTACTAAGTGTTTTCTCAGTGTTGTGGAATAGCTCAGGAGCAAAGGTACACCAGGTATGGTCTTTGGCTAGGTTTCTGTAGCTGCCTTTTGATTTTGCAGAAAAAGCCACCACGTGAGAATGGCCATAAGCAGATAAGTAGCAGTTCCATTGGATGTCTGTCTTCTCCAAATGCTACAATACAAAGCCCTAAGCATGAGTGGAAAATCGTTGCTTCGGAGAAGACTTCAAGTAAGTGTATCACACTTGTCAGATTACCTTTGGTTTATTTCTTTTTAAGGAGTTTTAAGTTAGAACCATATCATCCTTTTAAGTTGATTGAGGAAAAAACTCAGAAGCAACCAAATTTGGAAAAGAGTAACAGGTCATCCCTGTGTGGAGTCTGGAGTCCAATGCAGGATCACAGCAACCGAAAGTAGTAAAAATTGCATCTTTAAAAACACAGAACTCTTGTGCTTACAGATAACACTTACTTGTGCCTGGCTGTGCTGGATGGTATTTTCTGTGTCATTTTCCTTCATGGGCGAAACAGCCCACAGAGCTCACCAACAAGTACTCCAAAACTCATTAAAAGTTTAAGTTTTGAGATGCACCCAGATGAGCTCATAGAGAAGCCCATGTCTCCTATGCAGTATGCACGATCTGGTCTGGGGACAGCAGAGATGAATGGCAAACTCATAGCTGCAGGTAAGAACAGAAGGATGAGTGACTTAGGCAAAAGCTTTAACTGGCTAAATCTCTTAAGCAAATGTTTACGCTTGCTTGTGACGTGCAAATTTTGGAAGACAGGCTTTAATATGTCTTCTTCTGTGGCATTCCACTTTACCACATTCTAAGATGACAGAAACAGTCAGTACTGTTGTAGTGCCTCGTCTTCAAGTTAATGTCTGTCTCTAATTCCTTAAAAGCTATAAAGTAAGTAATTGTCTCCTAATTTTCAAGCCAAGACAAAGCAGTTTACTTACACTAATTTTGTCATTCAGCTATAACAAGCACTTAGTTAAAATGGGGCCTTATTAAGTTTGTGGATGAAAATTCTTTTTCTCATTTCTCATTTTGTACAGATTACTTAAAACATTCTAGACCAGAAACCCTGGGCCAGTGTAATATTTTAAACATAACTGTTTGTGGTTCTTATACCAGGTGGCTATAACCGAGAGGAATGTCTTCGAACAGTTGAATGCTATGATCCACACACAGATCATTGGTCCTTTCTTGCTCCCATGAGGACACCAAGAGCACGATTTCAAATGGCCGTACTCATGGTAAGTATATTATTTTGCAGGAAGAAGCAGCCCACATTTAGCATTTTCTGCTAACTTCACACAGTGGCAGAAATGCTAATCTCTTGCTTTTGGCTTAGGGCCAGCTCTATGTGGTAGGTGGATCAAATGGTCACTCAGATGACCTGAGTTGTGGAGAGATGTACGATCCAAACATAGATGACTGGACTCCTGTTCCAGAATTGAGAACTAACCGTTGTAATGCAGGTAATACTTTTCTGCTGAGTTAATCAAATACTTAAACCGTACTTAAGTATGATGATTAAGTTATCAACTTTTAACCTTATTTTATACTCACCTAGGAGTGTGTGCTCTGAACGGGAAATTATACATCGTTGGTGGATCAGATCCATATGGTCAAAAAGGACTGAAAAATTGTGATGTATTTGATCCTATAACAAAGTCATGGACGAGCTGTGCACCTCTTAACATTCGTAAGTTGATTTTCTTTTTAAGTATTTTTTTTTTAGGACCTCTGAGTCAGCGGTATGTGCAGTGCACACTTATAGTTTTGGGAGATAGAGTAATAATTTTGGTTTGACTTGATCTTATAGGTAGACACCAGTCTGCAGTCTGTGAGCTTGGTGGTTATTTGTACATAATTGGAGGCGCAGAGTCTTGGAATTGTCTGAACACAGTAGAGCGTTACAACCCTGAAAACAACACCTGGACTTTAATTGCATCCATGAACGTGGCTAGGCGAGGAGCTGGAGTGGCTGTTCTTGACGGTGAGTGTTGGGATTTGGAGAGTTGAGGGAATGGGTAGTGGCAAGAGTTTGTTTCAAAATTCCAAGAGAATGTCAGTAATAACTATATACTGTTGTAGGTTAAGAGTTCAGAAGCAGCCATCTTTTCTGACGCAGTGAGGGTTGGTTTGTCTTTTAGAAGTTTCTAATAATCAGAGACTGTACTGGGTATATAGCATAAATATATTCGCCTTCTTCCATAAATCATACTCCTGATGAATCATCTTGGAGTTGAGTTTGTTTCTTTAGAGCAAGAGTTTGTAAAACAAAGGAGATACAAGTCATCTAGTTTACTCCATGTGTAATTGAAAGCAAAACAAGTCTTTCCAGATCGTTTTATATAGACAGCTTTCTTTTCACATCCATTTTATTGATTTACATAATATTTATTTTGGAACAAAGCTTGTGGCTCTACTGGTAAGAGCCTAAGTGTGTAGGCACACCGGTACGTAGCCCACTGGCCTGCAGCCTTGGGCCTACTGGGAGCCTTGTCAATTCTTTCATAAGTACATGGACGCAGGTAGGCTAAGTGACAAGCAGATGAGAAAATGATGATTTTGAGAATCCCTAATAAAGTTTTTTCCCTAAGCTACAGGGAATATTTAATGCTAACATTTTATTTGAAAGTAATTTAACAATTAACTGCCTATGTATATTTGAAAATAGTTATATTCATTGTCTGTTTCCAAGAAGAAATTTCTGTACCAAAACCATTTTATGTAGTTGGAAAGGTCTAGAAAATGTTCAGTTATTGAAACCTTCTTTCCTATAATCTTCATTCTTGTGCACTCTAAGCAAGTTGTCCACCTTCTTGGTTCCTCATTTCTTCATCTGTGAAATGACAGTAATAGAAACAACCACATAGAACTGTTGTGAGAATTGCACTTCCTTTAAATTGCCTGACTTACATGTGCAAATGGGTTTTTATCAATTTTATTCCATTGTATTCCCAGCTTCTAGGGAATGCTTGCCACATTTAGTTAGAAATGAACGGACTTTTCTACTGAGAACCACTAATTTTAGCAAAGACAGATTTAAGGGTTTCTTTCTTAGCCTCTCCAGATTAACCTTGTGTCTTCTCTCTTAGGAAAACTGTTTGTAGGTGGTGGCTTTGATGGTTCTCATGCCATCAGTTGTGTGGAGATGTATGATCCAACTAGAAATGAATGGAAGATGATGGGAAACATGACTTCACCACGGAGCAATGCTGGGATTACAACTGTAGGGAACACAATTTATGCAGTGGGAGGATTCGATGGCAATGAATTTCTGAATACGGTGGAAGTCTATAACCTTGAGTCAAATGAGTGGAGCCCCTATACCAAGATTTTCCAGTTTTAACAAATTGAAGACCCTTTCAAACTAACAGGCTTAGTGATGTAATTGTGTTTAGTAGAGGTACACTTTGTGAATAAGGAGGGTGGGTGGGTAAAGATGTTGCTAACAGCAACACAAAGCTTTTGCATATTGCATATTATTAAACATGCTGTACATACTTTTTGTGTTTATTGGGAAAGGAATGCAAAGATGAAGGTCTGTTTTGTGTATTTTTAGGACTACTTTGGTTACTTTTTGGAAGTTGATATTGTAAAAGAATAAACCAAGAATTGATTGGGCACGTCATTTCAAGAAGTCCCCTCTCCTCCACATTTGTTTTGCCAGTTTGCACATTAAATGACTCTTTCTCCTCAAATATGTATTATGGGGCAAGAGGGGTAGGGTAAGATATAGGCAGTTGGGTTGTTTTTAAAAAAGGCCCTTTTTCAGTAACTGGAACACTCTACAACAAAGAGACTTATTTAACTAGATGATGATTATTTTTGTTTTTATTAAAAGGAAGCTTACATGCCTACCAAGGTTTAATCTTTTATGATTGCCTTTTTATAACTTTTTGTATTCTTAGCAGAGTACTTTCTTTACCTGTTGAAGTTAACATTTTGCAGGTTCAAATTACTGAAGCAGAGTGGCAATCTTAAAAGTATGTAGTGAGGTGTTTTATATTCCCAGAATACAAACTTCAGAACTTTTGCCTTAGCTACAGGTTTTTTTTTTTTTTGAGAATGCAATACCAATGTTTATTTGAATGGAGTTGCTGAACAGTAACATGGCTGTGATTTTTATTTGATACACTGTTTTGAAATACTTTGACTTCTTGGGGGTATATTTTATATAGCAAAATACTCAATATTATATATAACAGTAAAGAACAGTGAAGTATTTTATCTTCTAAATAATTCCTATTTTTTATCATTAACAAAACAATCCTAAAATAGCAGTCCTTGATTGTGGAAAAAAAATTACCTTAAACTGTATTGGGTTTATGAATGCAGCCTTATCAGAACTATGTTTTTGTTCAGTTTTTCTATTCATATGGATAAATACTGGTTGAAGTGGTGACTTGGTATTGTGTAATGCTACACATATAACTTATGGTGCCAAAATTAGAACATCCTAATGCTTGCTGTTGATGCAAACATATTAAAGGTACTTTGCAGGAAATCCTTGCACCATGGGATTACTATCCAAAAGTTGTTTGTGTTCTTTTTCATTACTAAAAGTTTTGGGGGGAGGGGTTTTTTTATTTTTTTCCCCAGTAACAATGGGCTTAAGATATTTGTGGGAAAATACTTACCTGATATCTTACATCTGAAATAAGGACTGTTATTTGGGGGTTTTTTTGGTTTGTTTTTTGCTTCTCTCTGAGAAGGCAAAGAGGCACATGGGAATCTCATGAGGCAACTGGGACATGACTTATCCAGTGTCTAAGCTGGGTTAAGAAGAAAATTAGGTTTTTTTCCCCAAGTATTCTACTGGTGCTTTGACACCTTGTTTCACTCATCTGTTCCACAAAGAATCACCAAGAAAGGAATTCAGTTTGCCTGGTGGCTCTGTAGTTCCTGACAATCACTACTTTCATTCTGGACCAAAACTAGGTGGGCAGATTTGAATCTAATATGATGACTTTTTACAATGGTTCTGTGTATGGTTTATTTATTTAGCACAAGGAAATAAAATTTTATTGGAGGGGTCACTATGAAATCCTTGAAATCACTTCTCAATTCCTAGGTAACATGCTTAATGCAAATATGTGGGAATACTTTGGTCAAAGTTTTATCATATTACCATTGATGCCATTGGTAGCTAAAATTATGTTAAATATATTTTGAATATAAGAAGTTTCCATAAAGGAAAAGTGCTCATTGACCAATTTTTCCTGTCTATCTGCACTTAAAAGGTAATTTTTTTTTTTTAAGGGAAGGAGAAAATGGCATAGCTTCAGCATAAATTAAAGAATTTTTGTTTTTTACCAGTGTGGGTTTCAGAGTAGTTTAGAAATGATATTGATCAATAACCACTCTTAAAATCAATTGTAATAATGCACGAAACATACCCAATTCCTAAAACAATAGGAAAAACTATAAAATACCTGTTTGAATTAACAAAACAATTGATTATATTCAAGTATGAATTTTCTTTTATTGTGATTTTCAAGGATAGGGCTTTGATATTTGGCCTCTAAGTATAGAGTCTTACATATTTTACCGTTTACAACATGTAGAATATTCCTTACATAATCATGTTTTAGGGAAGAGAATTTGGGAATATGATTAGTACTAGAATCCTTGCTAGTGAGGGACAAGGAGGCCTGGCATGCTGCAGTCCATGGGGTCACAAAGAGACATGACTAGTGACTGAATGACAAGTATACCCTATAATCTATAAAAACCCTATAAAATTTAAGGGGTTAGGCAAAGGAGAAAGTCTCTATAGATATTACTGTATCTCCATAGCGGCCGTTAGAGAAGACTGTGAGTCACAGAAAACAGTCTTCATAATACTTTTTGTGTCTTCCTTTGTTTCAAAAAAAGATTTTGAAGAGTCTCACTGGGTGAGACATATTTGGGTAAATCAGCTGGGTGAAAAAGAAGAAAAACAACGAAATATCACTGTATCAATCTCATACTTAGTAAGGCCAAGCCACAAATTTGGGCCTGTTAGCAGGAGACCCACCAAATAAATCATCTGAAGGTTAAATAACTGTGAAGTACCAGTTTTCTTCATAAAAGACCAGAAGTTTCTCAAGAGTCTTAAAGACAATAATGATAACTGAACAGTAAGAGTATATACAGAGAGCGATGTGCTCAAGTGCATGTCATGGCTGCTTTTACTAGCACAATAGCTAACAAAATGTTTAGGCTCCTCTGTTAGAAGCTCAGTTCTCTATTGGGGGTTTGAATAAGGGTGAGAAGCAAAGTTATTAAGTTATTAAGCTGGGTATGTCTAGGGTTGATATCTTGTAGGAATACAAGAATCTAAAAAAGGCAGATGTTTGAATAGATGGCAAAAGATTTGCTCAGAGAGAATAATAGGACTAATATAATTTTAGCCTGGAAAAAGATGCACACAGAATACCAAATTGCAATGAATCAGAGAAATTTAAGAGATGAACTGAAACATCCTGCAAAAGGTTTGGGAAAAGACACTGATAAACGGAATCTAATAATAGCATGAAAATGTGCTTACTATCATTGATCATTAGGAAAATGTAAAAAGCAAAATGATATACTTTGGAAAGTTTGACAGTTTCTTATAAAATTAAATATTCTATGAGACAGTAGCCTTATTCCTAAGTATTTATCCAAGTGAAATGAAAACATGTTCTTAAGAGAAACCTGTGTATGAATATAATAGTTTTATTCATAATCACCAAAATCTAGAAACTCAAATATCCTACCAGTTGGTGAATGGTTAGAAGGGTACATCCATACAATGAAATACTAAGAAATAAAAAGATAAAACACGAACGGATCCTCAGAAGCCTCATGCTAAGTGAAAAGCCTCCATTTACACAGTATTCCAGAAAAGAACTGCATGGACAGGAGACATCAGTGGCTTCCTGAGGTGGGGATGGGAGTTGGCTACAGAAAGTCACCAAGGAATTTTAAGGAGCGGTTGAAACTCATAACAGGTGAACACTGCTGACTGTGTGATGGTGTCTGACAAAACTAAAAATTGTACACTTGGAAAGGTGCTATCTTTCTAGCTTAACCAAACCTTTAAAGGAAAAGGCTTTTTTTTAAAGAGGCATAGGACATGTCAGTATTTTACCTGACTAGAAATCTCATCAGGGAACCATTCATTCTCTGGCCATGCAAGGGTTATGTACCAAATTAATGTAGTTTTGCCTACAACCATTAGTTTGTAATCGAGTTGCACAGGCTAGGAGACTCAATTTAGATCATAGTTACCACCTTGGTGGTACCTGAGATCTGAATGTCTTATCACCTTCCTTTCTTGGTTCACAGCTATAGATAATGCTCACGCTCATGCAGCTCCTTGTTTTCCCTGGAGTGGGGTTTTTTGTTGTTTTTTTTTTTTTAGCAAAATAGCCTAAAACTGGATGGAGAATGGGTTGTCCAATCTGATCCAATCTGAATCAGAAAAGGAGTACGGGTGTCAGCATCCCTCAGTGGAAGATGCATTTCATTATTCAATAGTGAGATATATTCCCTCTTAGAAGAAAGAGGTAAATTCATTCTAATTCATGGGATGAGTCAGTAGGAGCTAAAAGGCTCCAAAAGGTAGGTGAACTTGAGATGTCACATCAAGAATATGAACTGTTAAGAACTAGGCTCTTGTGCTCGCTTCGGCAGCACATATACTAAAATTGGAACGATACAGAGAAGATTAGCATGGCCCCTGCGCAAGGATGACACGCAAATTCGTGAAGCGTTCCATATTTTTACATTTCTCCAAGGAAGACATACGGATGGCTAAAAAACACATGAAAAGATGCTCAACATCACTCATTATCAGAGAAATGCAAATCAAAACCACAATGAGGTACCATTACACGCCAGTCAGGATGGCTGCTATCCAAAAGTCTACAAGCAATAAAT